CACTGCTGTATTATAACATGTAATGAATGCATTATGCAATACTGAATTCTTTCCTTGCTGGTTTCATCAGCCCACAGCTACACTTTAGAGGATGTTAGCTTGTCAACAGCTTCTGTTAGTGATGGATCTGAAATGTACGCTGACCAATTAACCATCATAGCTTCTTGCTGAAACATGCAAGAAGTTACCCAAGCAAACTGCTTTAAGACAACTTCCTGTCATGTCCGGAGAACAGTTTTTAAACCGTTATGTGGCATGACATGAATCATTACCATGGATGCAAGTTTATTTTGATTCCTCAGACTGTCCTGCTTCCTTAAACACTCGGTGGAGAACAAAATCTGAGTTAATCCATCAACAACGAGCCCCCCTCCAAAATGCACCCTGCACCCCCAATTTGTTAAAACCACGGACAGTGCCATGAACCGCTTGCAGCCGAGGCCCACAGCGGCAGAGAGCAGGCAGACCAACATGTGATTATTCAGTCTTTTCTTGACTTTGCTGTCATGAAAATACGACATGACAGAGCAGACTGAAAAATGCCTGCAGCAATTTTCTAAACCTCAAAGCGACGTTCACTTTCGTGTGACGAGATCACATTTAATCAGCTAATTTCACTCCTAACAACTGCTGTCTTTCCCCCTTCACATGGAGCTCTGGGGTTCAGTTTCTCCTCTTTAAAGCGATCGTTTGGTAATCTCATCTTCTGGATTTGAGGACAGACATAAACATGCAATTAAAGTTCCTCATTCCTCCAGCGAGATCCGAGGCCGGCTTCTGTGGTCGGGCTGATAGACGGGAGAACGCGCGCCGTCTCTCTGTAAGAATTTTCCAAGCACAGGCTTCAGTGATAAAGAGGAAAGAAATGGTGAAGACTTGCTTCCAGAAATGTGAACGTAATTCCAGGTTTCCCACAGAATTCAAACAAACAGGATGTCTCGGGCAGAGCATCGCTCTTATGTTCTTGTTTATCTCACGATCGCCTCCTTTTTTGTCTAAA